TCTCTCAGGGCCGGTTCTGTAACGTCCGCAGGCGACAGCGGCATCCGCGTTCCAGCCTGGAACACGGCGCCGGGAGCAGAGTATCTGGGGCTCCTCCGGCACACCGTTACGTCATGTGTTCCAGCCTGGAACGCGGAAGTCATAGGCCGTCCGTGCGCTCCAATCGGATGCAACGGCTGCCTATATAAACTCAGTCGGGAGGCTGACACGGCGTTCCACTATTGCGGTCTAGAAGCCCTGCAGCCTCCCGACGCCTTGAACCCCCACAGCCTTGCCTGGACCTCCTTGAGCAGCTCTGCATCTACCAGCCTTGGACCCCACACCATCCCCAGCCAATCCTGCTGAAAGGACACCAGCCTGCCTGGGAACCACCAGCAAAGATCCTAAGACCCACTACCAACAGCCTACTGGACTCAATACAACTAAGCGCAGGTACCCCTCTGAGGGATTAAGCACTATATCAAACAAGCCTAGACTTTTGCATACCAGTGACTGTGTTCTGAATAGGCGCTGTTAATAGTATGTATTACTCCTGCTGGGGTTTCAACCCTAACATCAATTACTTTTCCTGTGTATAGTTTCATTTAATACCTTATGGCCTATGACTTAACAGTCCACCCTTAAACCACAGTCACAATTAATATACGGCAGATGATGCTTTAACCCCTAACTCTCCGTGCAGATTGAGAGCGACGCCAGGGGTTAAACCTGACTAGCCGTATCCTCCTTCCTGTGGTATTGGTTATTAGAGGGTGTTATACTGTCCTTCCGCAGCTGAGATCCGAGGAACCCAGGGGATTAGGGAGTGCGTGACAGGTTCACACCATCTCCAGTGCGTTCCGGCACGGTTAGTGGCCGGACTGCACTGGATCACATAGTGGAACTAGTCTCAGGAATCCCCTTCATGTGCAGATTGTTTCTACGGCTCCAGTTTTAACTGTCCCTCATGCAGAGACACAATATTGTGAAATGCTGGTGTGAGGGGGCCCAGTATGTTTGAAGAGTAAAAAGGGTGGAGCCGAAAGAGTCCCGGTCTGCTCCTAAGACTGTTACTCTGGTTTCCAGACCAGTCACATCATGTTTAATGTTCACAGTCTCTTTATGCAAAATGGCTTTTAAACATTGTGCCAGTGCCTCTAGATCTTGTCTTGTGCGGAGACAGTACAAGATGTCTCTGTCCACATCAGATGTAATGAGGTATAGGGGGACTAGGCCTAGGTAGGGGGGTCAGAGACAAAGGTGAATATGTGTGGCGGATATGTTGTGCAGGTGAGTGTGGCTGGGAGGGAGCAGTGGAGCTATGTTTCTCAATACTTAAGGCTTCAGTGGATGTGTAAGCAGGTGCCGTTACGCCCAGGCCCCATGTGGTGTCAGTCAAAGCTTTGGAACTGAGGTAGTGCTGGATCCTTACCGATATGGCGGTGTGGCCTATGCCCTGGTGATTTTACTTCTTTGGACATGAGGAATTGTCAGCCTCTGGTATTATTAATCTGTAAGAATATGGCCCCAGTGGTGCATAGCTTCCAGTTCTAGTGTATGCTCAGATCCATCTTCCAGTCACATCCCCAGATAGACAACAATTCTGAAGATCTTGAGACGGATTTTATAAGGCACTTCCCTATTGACTGAAGGTAAATTATATTATGTTAGCATAGGAGTCACAAATAATAACTGGAAACAAAGTCTTAATAATTAATTATGTGTCATATGTTTACATGCTCACTTTCCCATATTGCTATTATTGCATTAATTAGATATTTGTAGACTAGCCACTATATGGAGATCTGTATTGACATGTCACTGCCTGAGGAAGGGGATACTGTGTGACCCCAAAACGCTTCTCTGCTTCTACCTAAGTTTATGACGGTTGCCATCCGTTGAGCACCCATCTTGTCCTTTTTTGGAGTAAGCGGTCAGGAGTGCGATGGGTTCATGGACTCCCAGCTGTCAAACTGGTTCCTGGATGAATTAAAACAATGGCCGGCTCTGCCCATTTGTTGTCATTCAATGACAGCCCACTGTCCTCAGGTCATTTGAGGATAGTGGGCTGTGGACAACAAATGGGTGGAGGAGGCCGACTCTGCCCATTGTACAGTCATCTGTCAGACTTTCTGCGGCGGCAGTTCGTTGAGTGCGGACAAGTTGGCGGGCGTCGTTTCTTTTTTATTTCGACGAGTTGGCGGTGTCGTGGGCAACACTGGACATCTTTATTGACCTTGGGTTACGACGGTGGATTAATTTTTGGGATTTTTTTTCTATTAAAGGACTTTTCAAAAACTTTTGCTTTGTACCCTTTATTATACCCCTTACTCATTCACAAGGGGGGGCAGCATCTGGGTGGTACCCTGATGCACATAAGCCCCCCTGCCCGCAGACCCCCACAACCTCCAGGTCAGGGTTGTGGCGGAAGAGGCCTTTGTTTTTATCGGCATTAGCACAAGGTGCTTTTCCAGAGGGACAGGCAAAGTGCCCTGGAAAGGCACTTTCCCAATGCCGAGGGATTGTGGCCTGGTATGGTGCAGGGAGGGGAGGCCGCTCACTTGTCGTCGTCGTCCCCCCCCTCTTTTCTGACCTGCCAGGATGCTGCCCGGATTAAGGGTCTGGTTGGGAATTTTTGGGGGGACCCAACATTTTTTTTCTCATTTTTGGGGGGTGGGGTTACCTTAAAATTCCTACCATACTTAAAGGGCCTGGTATGACTTATGGGATTAACCCCACACACTTTTTTATTTTTAAATCAGTGGTCCCTCCTAACTTTTCTACTAGACCTAAGGGATCTGGTATGGATCGGAAGTGGGACCACATAACGTTTTTTTTGTTATTTGTTTACATTTGCAGGGAGAACGGTCTGCTTTGGCAGACCATTCTCCCCGCTTCAGCTATGACTTCGGCTCAGCCAAGCCCAAGCATATGTGTTCGACTAGACTGAGCTGTTCGGCTGCCTTCAGTTGCTGTACCGGCTATTGTGAATAACCGTACAGCAGCCCTTTGATTCGGCTGAGCGAGAGGGCACTGGCAGCCGAAGTGAGCCAAAGGATTAGCCAAAGCTACGGCTATATCCTTTGGCTTTTTAGTGAATACCCCCTTAGTATAACAGGAACTGTTAAAATGCAGGATTGTACCAATAAATCGCAGGAAAGCCAACATTTTATGGTCGTCACCAGAAAAAATGGTTAGGTGAAAACTGTTAATAATGGACACTTGCTTCTGTGATCACTGTCTAAGAGAAGGATTCTACTCACTTTAGAGATATCTCCTCTTACTTTTTGGCCGTGCAGTAAAGGAAGTTATGGGAAATATCTCCAACCAAGCAAAACAACATCTTCTGCCCCATGTGCTCCAAGATTGAGACTCTCATAGTTTAGAGTTAGGACCGCTATATGGAGGTGCCTTGGCGTGGCTGTGCGGCTTACACATTTTCTGCAGAAGACGTGTATCCAAACCTCTGCTTTTAACCTTAGTGGTTACACAAGTTTTTTTTGCATGCTGGCTGGCGAGTGTGCCTGGAAACTTTTTTCTGTTTGAAGCCCTTCCGTGTGCACCTTGCTGTAAACGAATTGATGAGTGCGTTTGTCATTTGTTTTGCTTGACTGATTTGGTGCAGTGACGCATGGGGGGTCTCAGCTGCCCTTATGATGTGCGGGGTCCCTTGTGCGTATCTGCGCCTTTAAGGGAGGTTGGGCTTCCTCCTGACAAACCTGCACCCAATTTTATCTTCTGCCCTATGTGCTCCAAGATGGAGACTCTCATAGTTTAGAGTTAGGACCGCACTATATGGAGGTGCCTTGGCGTGGCTGTGTGGCTTTCACATTTTCTGCAGAAGACGTGTATCCAAACTTCTGATTTAAGGAATCCTGAAAGCTTGCATCTTTAATATATTGTTTTAGCCAATAAAGGGTATCACTTAAATGCCAAACATTCTGACAGTAAAATTTTAAGTATTGAACAAATGAATACATTAATCAAACAATCCAGATAAACATAATTGAATGTCATAATTTCCAATCACACCTGTCAGTAACTTGGGCATGGTACACTGGCTGCAAGAATACAATACAGAAACCTAGATTTAGGTGACTTAAGGGCCTCAAATCCCAAGTTGCTTTTGGTATGCACATCTTGACATTTCCTAGCTGTGCTCCTTTCCACCTACTGCACATTCCTATTCACCGATAAGGCGTCTCAACATAGTGACTTGCAAATAAAAAGATACTGGAGGAGGAGGGCCAGCTCTCAGTTCAGTTATAAAGTTTTACATTTTGTATACTAGTGTACTGCAGGATTTTCCACAATCTAAATTGCTGATATGTTATTTAAAAAAAATGTCTAATATGTTATCACTTCTGATAAAAGGATTAGATGGTGTGTGTGCCTGGCTAATGTATCTGTTCCACAGATGTTTAGGGGACATTTCAGACTGTCATTGTAAAGAAGCATTGAGTTGCACAAAGTGCAGGCAGGTGGTAGTACATTTTTCAGTTCACTGCTTTATAGGCCCCAATTGAAAGGATACATGGGTTATTGGTTACTACATACAAATGCTTAAATAGCCGTTATGTGTTGTAGAGTAGTTTTTGCTCATAGGCTATTACCATTTCATGTTGTGATCCTTCATATGTGGAGCATTTATTTCTGTCAAAGTGAGTGATCTCTATTTCACTTCTTTGCCAGTAACTTAACCAACAACATATATAGCTGCTTTTAGGCCCAAGTCAAATTTGTTGTTAATGGAACCATGCCAGAGACAAGATCACTAAGAAAGCAAAAAAAACAAAAACACTTACCTGCTTCTACTCATACTGTTCCATCACTGGCAAGCAAGCTTCTGCAGCTTTTTGGCAAGCAAGGAAGCAACGCCATAGAAGCACAATTATCAATCTTGTTGCTGCCAAATTGCCACCAATAACAGGATTGCTAGTCTGACATGGACGTTTAGAAGTAAAACACAGGACCTCTTTTTTTTTTTCTTACTTTATTATTTCATATAAATTTTAATGTTACCACACAAATTTTCTTAAATAACTACAAACGGTCCATATATCTTATGCAGTAGGCAGGCAAACAAGAATCCCTTGGATCTACATGCTAGATTTTTTGTGAACTATCTAGCCTTATACCTGGTGTCACAAAATTCACTGAAGCTGAAATCCAGGTAAACAGCTCAAAGACATACAGTATATGTGAAAAGTGTTACCTGGCAAAGAATTTGAATTATGGTCAATCAGTAATTTGCTAGTTCTATGTAAACAGCATCTAATTATTTAAAGAACAACTGGATTAAATAGTGATGTCTACAGTATATCTGCCTGGAGTTCAGCTTCAATATAAATTGTGACAGCATCATTTTATGTTTAGCTAACTACATCCATTGATGATGCTGATGAGTGTGACAAATAGCTGTTTTGTGTTTTTACTGATATGCTGTTTATTTATCAGATCGCTGTTGCTAGTGCAGTTTAGCTGTCAAACATGACTTTCTTTTCATTTCTACTAAAACAGGTAAAGAGAAATAAATAGAGTGCTTCTAGATGGGTTACTAAGAAATGTTCAAAATATGCTATTATTTTTGCTTTTGTAACAATGCAGTGAGCAAACTATGAAACAGGAATGTTGTTGATTCTTCACACGCATTTTGTCAGTCAAAATCTGAAAAACAAAAAATTTCAAAACGTGAATGGCTGATAAAATGAAAAAGTAAATCATTTGAATTGAAAACTTAAAGAAAAATTCTGGGCAGAATAAAACTTACCTCAACACTGCAAGGGTTAAAGTGACCCTAAACTCGGGAGTTATATCTTAATCATCTCTAATCTTAACCTCACGATTAATTAGCTCATTTGCAATAAAGTTATAGTCTATCACAGGAGGGAGCTTGGAGTGGTGGTTACTTTACAATCCACACACAGGGACCATGGGGGACAAATGTAGACACCACCCAGAATGAAGGACAGTGTCAGAGATGATTTGAGGACCTACAGCTGAATGATACACAAATAATGTGCATTTCACTTAATAGTTAAGACACTTGAATGCATTATTAAGATTTAGCTGCTGAGTTTAGTGTCACTTCAAGGGCTCATTTTTGTCTAGGGTCTAAAATAACAAATATATACTCACCCAAACCTTGGTCCCGTCTGGCTGCTAGACTGGTGCCTGCAGCCTCTCTCCCCTTCATTCCAGTGGTTTAAGAATCCATAATACAGTGTATTAGCCGTGAGGACACCGGAGGACATTCCGTTGCAGGAGTGTGTGAGAAAGGCTGCAGGGACTGATCTAGCAGCCAGGCAGAACTGAAGTTTGGCTGAGTATGTCTTTGTTATTTTAGACCCTTGCAGTTAACTCTTGCACTGGAGGGTAGCCCCACTGCAAAGGTTAAGTTTTCTTCTGCTTAGAGTTCTTTTTAAAATAATTTTTTTATTTGTTATATGAAAGAGCAGGTGACAAAGTCTCTTGAATGCATAGCTTCATATTCCCTGAGCTCCCCTGCAGGTCCATTCCCCTGAAGTTCTAACTCTGTCTAAGCTCTGTGTGAGAAGGTGTCTGAGCTTACGCAGGATGACGCCCCTCCTTATACCATGACAGTGTCTGGGCCATGCTTTTGATTTTCTTAAACAGTTTTGCAGCTTAAATCTCTGGAAAGGATCATTTTTAGATATACAATAATGTCAGTTGGGATTTGTTTTATATTTACTTTCAAGAGGCATTGCAGAAAAAAAATGCCTCACTCCCCGCTGTCTCTCCTCTCTCTACTGACTGTCTCTCCTCTCTCCTGGCTGTCTCTCCTCTCTCTCCTGGCTGTCTCTCCTCATTCTCTCCACTGGCTGTCTCTTTGCTGCCTCTCCTCTCTCTCCTGACTGTCTCTTCTCTCTCCTGGCTGTCTCCCCTCTCTCTTCTGTCTCTCTCTATCTCCTGGCTGCCTCCCCTCTCTCCTGGCTGTCTCCCCTCTCTCCTGGCTGTCTCTCCTCTCTCCTGGCTGTCTCTCCTCTCTCTTCTGTCTCTCTCTATCTCCTGGCTGCCTCCCCTCTCTCCTGGCTGTCTCTGCTCTCTCCTGACTGTCTCTCCTCTCTCCTGACTGTCTCTCCTCATTCTCTCCCCTCTCTCCTGGCTGTCTCTCCTCTCTCTTCTGACTGTCTCTCTCTCTCTCTCTCCTGGCTGCCACCCCTCTCTCCTGGCTGTATCTCCTCTCTCCTGACTGTCTCTCCTCTCTCCTGACTGTCTCTCCTCTCTCCTGACTGTCTCTCCTCTCTCCTGACTGTCTCTCCTCTCTCCTGACTGTCTCTCCTCTCTCCTGACTGTCTCTGTCTCTCCTCTCTCTCCCCTGGCTGTCTCTCCTCATTCTCTCCCCTGGCTGTCTCTCCTCGCTTGCTTCCCTGGATGTCCTTCCTCGCTCTTTCTCTTGGCTGTCTCTCCTCTCTATCCCATAAATGTCTCTCCTCGCTCTCTCTCCTGGCTGTCTCTCCTCACACTCTCTTCTGGCGGTCTCTCCTCTCTCTCTTTTTCCTGGCTGTCTCTCATCTCTCTCTCTCTTGTGTATTCTCCAAAAAAAAGCTGCACAGCGCTAGAGTGTTTGGGTTTCACTTGAAGAAAAGGTGGCAACCCTAGCACAGATATGGACTGGAAGAAGAGTCTGCAGGAGTCAGAGCATTGGACCCGCGATCCACTGATCATGATTCCATTGCTTTACTGCCTCTAATGCATACAAATACTGCATTATTTTTTTTAAATTAATGTGTGTGTGTTTATTATTTCTTTCTAAAAGGTGGACTTTGCCTTTAATGTAAACCTACTGTGTAAACTATTCTTTTTGAACTGAGCATATGATTAAATAAATGCATAAGCGGAGGGTAAATTAAGTAAAAACTGCAAGTCAAGGCAAATGAAATATCCAGTAATGCAAGGAGGTGAATTTGCTGATCTTGACTTTTTCTATAAAAGTTGAAATAAACCCCATCCCCTCCCCTCCCAGACTTTCCTACTGGTTATTGAGAGTGTCCATCACATGAAAGGATAACTAACATTTAAACAACATTAGCTATTTTGATATACCAAGGATACCAACTAACTTTGCAAATATAAACTACTATCTTTGCCTTTTCTTTCTCTGTGCTTTGAGAGCTACCTTCACAGGCCCAGCCTGCTGTACGCAATGCTCTGTTTACATTTAGCATGCCTAAAATAGTTTTTTAACTAATTTTGAGGAGCGGGCAAAAGGAAACATTTGCTCCATATAACTGTCTCATTCAGTGTTTTTACTTCCAGCAACCAGAAATGATGGTTTCTATGCTGCAATACATTCATGCAATCACTAGAATTTCACACACTTTCAGACATACAGGTGAAACTCGAATAATTAGAATATCATGCAAAAGTAATTGCAGTAAGTGCTGCAAAAGGGGCCCAAACCAAGTACTGAGTACATATGCATGCTTGTACTTTTCAGAGGTCCGATATTGTTCTATGTACAATCCTTGTTTTATTGATTGCATGTAATAATCTACTTTTTTGAGGTTGTGGATTTGGGGTTCTTGGGGTTTTCATGAGCTGTAAGCCATAATCATCACAATTATGACAAATCACGGATTGAATTATCTTGCTTTGCATGTAATGAGTCTATCGCATATATTAGTTTCCCCTTTTAAGTTGCATTAGTGAAATAAATGAACTTTGCACGATATTCTAATTATTCGAGTTTCACCTGTAGACAGCCCCTGCATAGGTTTAGCATAAGTGTAGAAAGCACAAAGTTCCCCAAGACCATGACTGAAAACAAGTAAGGCACTAGGGATTCCTATAGAAGTACATCCTGCTTTCTACAACGGTCTGTTCGAAATCTTTTGGACAGGAATAGGATAGACTGGACTTATTATTTAAGGTTATTTCACAATTGCAACATACCACGATATTGCTTCTGTTGGGACTGAAGTTCATAGGATGCTCTAATACCTTTCTAGTCATCTGCTGATGTTTTTAGCTCTTAGGACATGTTTTTTTTTAGTTTTCCAGTAATAGTTGAGGTACCCTGCATGGTCATCTGATGTTATATTCCTTACAGCCCTGAGTGCAACACTTTGTGTGCTGCAGTACTTGTTGCTGTACTCAACCGATTTCTACAGAAATATTACCTGTATTATGGACTCCCAACTTCCTTAATGGCCTAAACCTCTCCTATATTCAACTGCCAAGGTCTGCCTCCTCCATATGAATTAGAGGTAATGAGATGGCTCACATTCCAGTCCATTTATCATACGCTCTGAAGATCACAATCTATCAAAAATCAAACTACTCTATAGTCTTGGCAATGCTAAAACGTTCCCACTTGGCAGTGGCAATCTCCAAACTGTTTGATCATTCTTTACAGGAAACCTTTACTGAAAGGTTGCCATTGCTTATATCGTTTTGGAAATTTTAATTGCCGGGCTGACTTTCTAGATGCAAATATATCAAGCATTTCTGAAAAATGTTGCCTTGATATACAAGCAATGTCTTTGCATAAGAGCAACATTTTGTACAAAAGCGCCACCCAAATAAGGCCTGTAGCAGTGCGAGCGATGAGTCTGTTTAACGACAATGCAATGTCACATTGGATAGATTCCTTGTTAAGGTTTCACGAAATGAAAAAGATTCCATTGAGTCAAGAGATAGCAGACCCCTTTTGTCTTCAGAATCGCTTTAATCTTTTGTGGCATTGTTTCAACAAGGTGATGGAAACATTCCTTAGAGAGTTTGGTCCATAATGACATGATAGCATGACATAGTTGGTGCAGATTTGTAGGCTGCACATCCATGATAAGAAACACCCCCAGCCTGAACTATTGATACAAGGCAGGATGGATCCATGCTTTCATGTTGTTTACATAAAGTTCTGACCCGACCATCCAAATGTTGCAGTGGAAATCAAGACTCATAAGACCAGGCAGCACCTCGAATGGTTGAATGGCGATATCACTATGCCAGAGATCCTGGAGGTCATTAAACACTCCCCCCTTTGCAAAGCTCCCGGCCCAGATGGTTATTCGGCGGAATTTTATCGCCTACTGGCTACTGCCATAAGACCAGGCAGCGTTTTTCCAATCTTCTATTTTCCAATTTTGGTGAGCCCTTGCAAACTGTAGCCTCAGTTTCCTGTTCTTAGCTGACAGAAGTGGCACTCGGTGTGGTCTTCTGTGGCTGTAGCCCATCTGCTTCAAGGTTCAATGTGTTGTGTGTGTTCAGATCTTCTGCATACCTCGGATGCAACAAGTGGTTATTTGAGTTACTGTTGCCTTTCTATCAGCTTGAACCAGTCTGGCCATTCTCCTCTGCCCTCTGGCATCAACAAGGTATTCTTGTCCAGAGAGCTGCCGCTCACTGGATATTTTATCTTTTTCAGATCATTCTCTGTGAACCCTAGAGATGGTTGTGTATGAAAATCCCAGTAGATCAGCAGTTGCTGAAACACTCAAACTAGCCCATCTGGCAACCAACAACCATGCCATGTTCAAAGTCGCTTAAATCCCCTTTCTTCCCCATTCTGATGCTCGGCTAACGAAGGGAAGGGGGAGGAGTCCGGTGACGTTGATGTCCGTGATGTCACCGGACTCCTCCCCCTTCCCTTCGTTAGCCGACGCACGAGCGCCAGCCAAGGCCTATTGTCCTATACACATACAAAGGATTACACCGAGGATCATCACCAAACACATCAATGACCAGGCAGAAAAGGCCCATCTGGCTCTCGGGGATCGCTTTTAGATTAGCACCATTACTATCTAAAGATGTAATAAATGACCCATCAGCTCCTAAGCTGAAAATGACTTTGCTTTGATTATCTGGATACACCTCCCCCATTGGGAACCCCCTTGATATTCCTCAAGTCTTTTGTCTAGACATTGTGGAAAATCTCGATTGCATAGTGTTCTATATGCGTATTGCACTGCTTGCAATAATACTTTATAGAACACTTACATATTTCCATATATAAAAGAAATGCAATTTATTGTAACATTTGGCAGTTTAAGTTATTTATTGAAAACAAAAATATTGTGCTGTTAGTTCACTAATCCAGCACGTTATTATTCTGAGTTGCCCCACTCAAGCGGCGGCCATATTAAGTGGGACACGTGAGATTAATAACGTGCTGGATTAGTGTGATCCTAGTTCATTTTATTACTTCATTGCTGTGCTGTATGTGTATAGGCCAATGTAGTTGGATCTGTATGTGTGTTATAATTAATCAAAATTAATCAATTAAAATTTTTTCAAACCTCAGCAACCAACAATACCCCCTAGTGATGACATTACACAGTGCAAAGAAAAAAGAGACACATACTGGGTCGAGCTCAGAAAGACCGCACAAAAATAACAAATCATTATAACCCGTGAAAAAAAACCCCAATATACTGTGTCCTAGCTAAAAAAAAAGAATCTAATACATGGCCACCCATGCACATTTTAAATACCAGACAGGAAAAGACCACCCAAATAAAAAACATAGCATTTCAAAGTAACAAGTGTAACAAATGTGCTAGGGCAACATAATGGCAGAGAGTCACAAGTGACAAGTAGCAAAGGAGCCAGAAATAATGGCATTGGCCAATCCACCCCGCGTGTGCACTAAATGGACAAATATGAGGTGTGAAATAGTGAATAACAAACTAGAAAAGATAAACAATGACAGCGGACAAAGTAGAGAATACATGCAAGTATATGAAATATTGATTAAAATAGTAATAAACCCTCAAACTTATTTCAGTAATTAATTTAGATCACACAAATATACATTGCAAAGCATTTATTTAAATTTTTGCCCAAACACTTACAGTCATCATGTTTACAAACGGCTGGCTCTAGCTCTCTCAGCTTCCCTGAACTTCATGTGCAGTACGGTGCCGATCACAAAGGACAGTGTAGCCTTCAGCTGCTGTCCATCTACTAGCTTGGAGAAAGGAGGAGTGGGAATGGGGGAGCAAGGGGGTGCCTAGCCTTGATGTTCCTGTGTGTTTGTGGAGACACATATACCTTACTAGCACACACAAAGATGGCTCCATAGAACCCTGCAAGGGTGAGAAGCCACCCGAAAACAGGATATTAGGTCAGTGCTCAGGGGACCAGCTGATTCTGCAGGAAGATAGCAAGAACCAGCATCCATTGTAAGTGGTTTAGCCAGCTTTTTAAAATAGCTTAAAAACCTTTTGACTTTAATTTCACATTAATACTTCATTGTCATCACCAGGGGTTGTGGTGGTGGATGGGGTTTTTGGTTTATTAGTCTGTTCACCATTTTGTTTTAGGTGACTGAGCACCATTGAAACATTAATAAAATGCTAATGCTTTGACTCCGCTACAGGACCTGTGAGTGAGTATAGCGATATATATAGCGCTATCTACACTACAAAGCAAAAAATAATAATAATATATTGCAGTTTACCCGTGCTTAGAGGGAGGAAGTGTTCTCTATTTCACATAAGATAGCTGGGAAAGCTAATAAGATTTTAAATGTGTTTTAGGCATCAGGTCAGAGGACAGGGAGTTACCAGTAAACTTGATTTCTGACAAGATTAACAGGTATTTTTGTGTACTTGTAAAATAAAATATAAATAAAATACTCTTAGCCTGAAAAAGAAAATGCATGCATTCACCACATAAGAACTGGTAAGCTGCAATGTACACTATTGTATTTTTGTTCTTCAGTTTAGATATACTTTAATTTATATGACACTTACCCTTGAATGCCTTGGACTTCTGTGGAGCCTTCTTCTCTTGCTCATCCATATGACGATGCCAATCATCTCCATACCCATTGCTAAGCAACTTGCTGAAATTTACTGCATCATTTTTATTCCCTGGCCTTTAGTGTGAACAAGAAAATGACAGTGAGGAAGGGAAACAAAAATAAACAGTGCAATACATTTTTAAGCATCTAATAAACATTTGAATCTTCTCATTTTTAGACTGAGCTAATTGTGCCTAAGCTGTACCTTTCATCTTTTATTTACTCTGAAAATAGCAGTGCCATTTCTGCCATGCAACTGTGCCTAATCACAGATTTATAGCTGCAGTGTGATATTATCTAATGCACAGCTGCCACAGACTGCTAGTCGCACCAAATTTTGGAGTGAGATTTGGTTATGTCAGTAGGGGAATGCTCACTGTTCTCCTGAGGGTTTGCTGGGGAGCAAACTGTATCTGAGAACTTGCAGTAGAAACTGATCATATTCCGATTCATACTGATCACATTTAGGCTGGATGTTTGTTTGCCAACAAACCACTCCAGCCTGCTGATGGTGCTGCGCCTTTCTCTTTATGCACTTGGTTTTACAGTGGTACAATGTTAGTAGTACAATGTTAAGCTTGAAAAAATATTATATAATTTTAAACATTTGTGTAAAAAATAAATAAATGCCTTTTTGCACATTTGTCAGCTTATATTGAAATGTTTGCTGGGTAACAGCCTAATATAGTGCAGATGTTTTTATTCTTTAATATTGTTTTATTACATTTTACATAATCTGGTACTGACAGGTGCACTTGATAAAAGCAAGAGTCTGTATCTCCCTCTCATCCGATACAATGCTAAAAATGAACCTGGAGTTTAATCACAACAAAAGTAAACAAAAATAAAGGAGGTAAAAATGAAAAGTAGAACATGTGTCAACAGAGCCAGCATTGGGATTGACAACAGGTGAGAGTGTTGCGCAAACATCAATTTTTTTTGTAGAAGTTGTATAAGTAATTAAAGCTGAGCTCCAAGCACATATAAAAGGAACAGAATGCAGCTTTTTATTCATTTTGATATAATGACATACTTATTTAAATGCTGCTAGTGTAAGTACCTGACTTAGTGTAAGCTTCATGCAATCCCCTATACAACAGCGCTGTAAAACGCTCAACATGTGAAAACCAATAATTGCCTATGGGCATGGTTCCCACCTGGGCGTTTTACAGCGCGTAGGAACGCGCTGTAAAACGCCCTACGCCCAAAGAAGTACAGGAGCTTATTTGGGGCGTATTTGCCGTCCGTATCCATTAGGATACAGACGGATAGCCCTCGGAAATGGTTGGTCGTGCGTTTCTTTTAACGCAAATCGCGTTAAAACGTGCGGCAAATGCACATATTTTGTACGCCCAGGTGTGAACCCAGCCTTAAACTGGAAGAGTAACCAGGAGCTAATCAGGTTTGCTGCATGCAAATGTCTTCACAAGGAACATGGAGAGGGAAGAGTGAGCAGAGACATGGCATCCTCAGTCTACTGCTGTTTATTTACTGTCCACTCAGCAGGCTGGGGTGCAAAGAGGACACCACTATATTCTTGAAAGGAGAATTATAGGGAGAGTGAATTACACTCATCCCCATAATTAGAGCTGAGGTGTGACAGTGAAGCTGTCACACGTCGGCTCTTTTAACCGGGAACTGAGGAATAACATACCGCCGTTCGCTCAGTTCCTGATATTCTCAATGTAGAGAGCGATGGCTGTCAGTCACTGCTCCCCACAGGGATTTCCCCTCCCTTCCTCCAGAGCGGACTGGAGGAACAGACAGGGGAGGGGCAGGCACAACTGGCTCTGCCTCTAGAGAGTGTAATAAAAGAAGTAAGCCATAATACCGGTTCACAGCAGAATAAGTGTTCAGCAAGCTGGTATAAGATATTGGGTAAAGATAGAAGTATATTGGAACTAAATACAAAGTAACACGGTAGGAACATACAAAAGGCATCTGCGGAAAAAAAGTAGGGTCTGGAATAACTGAATCATTACTTGACTTGACAATGGACCTCTGCCAGGCTATGGAAACATATAAGGAAAGTATAAAGATCACACAGGTATGAATAGGTGGACTGGGGAGAAAACACAGCAGGGCATGGGGTATGGAAGACAGCAGATAATAAATATGTAATACATGAAGCACTATTTTAGATGATAGAAACACCTAACAGCTGCTGCAGTTGCAAAAGTCAATATTTTTATCGAAACATGTCAGTTGCAGGGTTATTTATCCAGGTTGGAGCTAATAGAGCAATCATAATCTCTCATTATGTAATGGGGAGTAAGTTAGGCATGGAGAAAATGACCAATCCTGCAAGCTGATGGCATGACAGAGGAGTGAAACAATGTGGATTATTTAGTTTGTATAGGGCTTACTGTGTTTTGTAGCCCCACAAAAGATTGTTGTTTATTAAGTATTTTGTCTGTTCATTGTTTTTGTATTGATTGTAATTAATATATATGATATTCATTGATATATGTGGTTATTCAAGTGATATGTAGGTAGTTCACTAGGAGTGCTGCAGAGATTATATTATACAAATGGGAGACAGCGAGAAAAAGACATGTCACATTTCACCATCTACCTGCTTACATATTTTAAAGAAGAACTCCAGGCAGAAATGTTATTGACCCCTGCAGTGGGGCTACTCCAATCCTTGGAGCTGGCAGCGCTGCCTCCAGCCTGTCTCCTCCTGCACTGCACTGACTCCAGGATTCCTAGACCGCTGCACAGGAGGAGGAGAGATGTTCCAGGGACCGGTCTAAGGGTCGACCGTCTCTGAAGATAGGGTGAGTAAACTTTTTTTTTTTTACCCTGGGAAAAAACAAGAAGTTTTCCACTGCAAGGGTAAATACAATTTCTGCCCAGAGTTCTTCTTTAACTGACAAAAAAAAGTAGGTTGGGATATAGTTAGAATACAAAATAAAGAATTACATTGTTACTGCAATAATGTGTGCCAATTCAATTTTTTTTAAATACATATACAAAGTGTGCTATACTGGGGACATTCCAGATGTACAATGAGAAGCCCAAAATGTGACGATCCATGTGCTAAAGAATATAAAATATAAATGTACTTATAATAAAATGTGTATTAGCATTTGTTACAATGGCAACAAGAAAAACACATCATAAATTATTCTAAAAAGCACTTCATGTTAATGTGGTTTTTTCTGCACCTATTGTATAATTTTACCACACTGACATTACAATTTTCAAATGATTAATAATCAAGTTAAAGCTAGTTTATCTAACACCGCAATGCATCTACAATACATACTTACATCGGTGGAAAGAAACATTTTTTTCCAGGCTTATCATGCCTGGTCTTTGGGGGAAGAGGTCCTTTACCAGATGCAGTCACATTGCTGTCATGTTTTATTGCAGGCAGCTTCACCTAAAGAATGACATTTATTTATAATATTTAAAAGGCAAGGCAAATGCTAGGATTGCATTTTTCAAATCATGAAATCCTGCACGCATCATCTGACTGTCTTTCAGTATCTATAGCAAGCTCTGCCTGACTAACAACCTCCAGTAGAAGCAACCATGATGTGCTGCAGTGGAGGACGCCATTGATGCAACCCTGTTGCTTTGCCTTACATGGGCAAAAGCATGTTTTCTTTAATACTTTCAAGTCCCTCGATAATCCAAACCGTTGTGACCACAGTACATTTTGACATTCTGGTATGCAACAGTTCACTCCGCAACTTCTATTAAACCATTTTGCACAACAAAATGATATTTAAAGTATTTTGTTAGCACCTTAATTTAGTATTTTTTTTTAAAGTAACCATAATTTTGTTTGTAATAGAAAGCAAAATGGGCACACATGTAAACAAAATTGCTTAGTGTGTAACATGTTTTGTACAATTAATACTATTTAAAACCAAATCACTTAATTACTTTCTACTCTTTATTCTGAGTACAAGGCCCCCGAATATGTGTAAGTTTTAATACAAAAGTCAGTGTTGTAAGGTCAATAAACAATGCGTAAATGTTTGATTTCTAGATATTAGGCATTTTCTAGCGCAATAGCTGTAATTCACTGATCAGCCTGGGATGGCACTAATGTACAGGAGGGCCATTGCACACGGGTTAAAATTAAACTGTGACAACTAAAAGACGACTAAAAGAATAACAAATATTTTCAAGTGCTTGGGAAGTTGGCAAAAAAACTATTCAAAATTGTAAGAAGTAGTTTAATTAGAAACCATTACCACCCATTAATTTAGATTTTAAACTACAATGAAAACCCAAAAAATATTCTCTCTTTGTGATAATCACTACGTATGTACGTCCTGACTGTGTACATGTTTGTGTGCATGTGTGGGGAGCGGGATCTTTTGAATTAATTTTTTTTGTAATTCATTACATAAGCCCTCCGTGTAATATTAGTGACAGGTACTCTTTGTGGAGATATCAAAGATTTACTAGATCCCCGAGGTCTCCCCTGTCACTAGTAACAGACCAGGTCCTGCTTGTACACCCATTATCTGTGCTGGTATTTTGACAGCTCTTATCCAGAAATGCCTAGAGTTGAGCACTTCTGAATTCAGTGAGTCACAGAGTGATCTCCAGGGGGTGCAGCAGGTGTAAGCACAGGACTTTATTTTACACCCTATTGGCACAGGGTACGTGCTGGGAGGATGTTGATTTACAGTGGGGGTCAGAAAGGGTAATGACTTGCTGCTGAATTAAATGGATCTAGGTTGTCATCATGGAAATCAGATTACCAGACAATCATTTGGAGACATACAGTTGTGTCAAAAGTTTTCATATCCTGGCAGAAATCGTGAAATTTTGTCTCTTATTCCGATCTTCTTCTTTCCTGATGTATTCATCTGTTCCTCCAGCGGTGCGGCGGCTCTCCGATCCAGCGCTGACTGCTCGGCCCCTCCGATCTAGCGATGTCTGCATGCGGGTGCACACGTCCATAGACTTACCTTGCGTCTCTGCTCGTCTCCCGACCGAGAATCGGAACTGCGCATGCTCCCGCCCCAAGATCCTTTGCGGCCGTACGAGCAGTTCTTGATTCTCGGTGCGGGAGCGCGCAGCTATAACGAGGTAAGTTTAAACCTAGTTAAAGCGGGGTTTTTTTTTTACTTCTTGCCTATATCTACTGCTTGCTAGCAGTAGATATAGGCAAAAAAACGGAGGGTTTAGAACCCCTTTAACTCAATCAGGATAAAGTTAAAACAAATTTAAAAAAGCATCACTCTTCCAAGAAAAAATACAGTTTTCCTGTATGACCCCTGGCAAGGCACCACGTCCACATGTTAATGGGGACAAGGGCCTTATCGCCACATCTGGTCCCCGAGAGGGTGTGAGGGTCTGAATATTCATCCTGTGACAAAAACACAACAAACCATGCCAGGATGATTCTACCCACTTTGCATTCTATTTGTATGTGGCATTTCCCCAGCCAGCTGCTAAATGTCAACAACTAGCTGGGAAGCCAGCTGACGTCATTTAGCAAATACGGATGAAAGGAATCATCAGCACTCACAGGATGCAAAATTCTTGTTCATTTTTATTGAATGTGCATCACATGCGTCAATCAAACTGTTTTGGGGCCACACAGGGTCCTTTCTTCAGGGTGACATAGTAACTATGTGACATTGCCCTGCTTGGCCCCCTTCGTTTGATTGACACGTGCCACATGTTCAATAAAAATGAACAAAAATTTCTCATCCTGTGAGTGCTGGTGATTCCTTTCATCCATATTGTGAGAACAAACGGCACCATTGGTGTCATCACTACAAGCACCGCTATTCAGAAAGAGAAAGGCCTACATAGTCGTATATGGAGTGCAGGTGATAAGCCACACTACTTGACATTGAGCAAATACGATCATGTACAATTTGAAACAAGTTTGCTGGCAGTGGCATAGTTGGTTGTAATGACGCTGGTGAGAATCTGCAACATAGCAACCGATAACGCTTAGTGGTGTCATTGGTTGTTATGGTGCAACCCACAATGGGAATTGTTCCCCGGATGGCTCATCTATATATGAAAGCTGTACCTTCCAATTAATTTATATTTCTGTTCATCCAGTCTTGAGATTTATGTAGCCCTGTCACACTGAACAGCCCTGTCTGGCAGATGACCTGCTACTGCAGTTAAAGAACACAAACAGGTCTCCTGCCCCTTCCGTCCAGCCTATGACTGAACTGGAAAGAATAAAACATACTGATAAGCGCATCTTTCTGTTATTCTCTTTCCTCATATAAGTACTACAGCACATCTGACTCCTTGTGCTGCTTCTCCCTAAACAGCTTGCATTTAAGGATATAACAGGATTTTTTTAACTCACTTTAAAATTATTTTCTTTGAGTTTGAGGGACACAAAATTCAGTGACATTTGAGTTATACTGCCATCTACAGGAGGTTTTGGACACTGGCAAACAAAAATGGTGTAATCCCTCCCACACCCAGCATGCCTCGGTTTTGTAACAGAGCAGTAAAGAGAGCAAGACCATAAACACAGAGAGAACTGTGTCCCTCAAAGAACTTCAAGGAAAAGAACTGACAGGGAGTACAAAAAAAAAAATTCTTGTTCATTTTTATTGAATGTGCATCACATGCGTCAATCAAACTGTTTTGGGGCCACACAGGGTCCTTTCTTCAGGGTGACATAGTAACTATGTGACATTGCCCTGCTTGGCCCCCTTCGTTTGATTGACACGTGCCACATGTTCAATAAAAATGAACAAAAATTTCTCATCCTGTGAGTGCTGGTGATTCCTTTCATCCATATTGTGAGAACAAACGGCACCATTGGTGTCATCACTACAAGCACCGCTATTCAGAAAGAGAAAGGCCTACATAGTCGTATATGGAGTGCAGGTGATAAGCCACACTACTTGACATTGAGCAAATACGATCATGTACAATTTGAAACAAGTTTGCTGGCAGTGGCATAGTTGGTTGTAATGACGCTGGTGAGAATCTGCAACATAGCAACCGATAACGCTTAGTGGTGTCATTGGTTGTTATGGTGCAACCCACAATGGGAATTGTTCCCCGGATGGCTCTTAGCAGGAAGTTGTCATTTAGTGGCAGCAGTGATGCCACCACTAAATGCACAACTTTGGACTGCAGCAGCTGAAGGTTCAGCATGTGGGTGGGCAACCTGCAAACAGCTGAAGTTCAGTTCCAGTTTGTGGTGAACCTGAACCTCACCTCTAGTGACAAGCTGGGTCTGAAATAAAAATGTAGAGCATTCAAAAGACAATGGAACAATGATTTATTTTAAAAGAATATATTGATAGAAGAGTAACATAAGAAGAATCTTAAATTTAACAAAACGTTGCTTAAAATTAACTCAAGTCAACACTACATAACCATATTAGAGACTGTCAGCCAAGATGTCCACCCACACTAGTTAGTGTGGAAAATGTGGTTCGTCTTCTTTAAACCCTGACAATGATGATTCTGTAGAACAAACCTTAGCTGAATAACTGTCAGGAAAAAAACAAGCCCTTTGTTATTACAATTTGTACCTAAAGTTATGCAGTAAATATGTCAATGTTACACTATGTAGCATGCAAATACCACCATTTGAATCTCTGTGACATATTATAAAAAGTGCTTTTTTTTTAGGAGCATTAACAGATATATATATATTTATTTATTTTCTTTTTCTTTGCATAATCCTGTTTAAGATGGCATATCAGTTTTCACAAAAGATCCAACAATTAACTGTTTGCATAATTGCTTCTGAGCACCTGCATGAAATTTTAACTCCAGGCATACTGCTAAATACATGAATTGCATATATGAAAGCTGTAAATATTCAAAAAACCAAGAAAGGGCGCAGAGAACACTGGCTAGTTAACAAAGTAGTGATGAAAAACTGAAGGTGGTGGCACTTACGTGTGAATGCCAGGATCTGGAGATGGACGGCCGGTATGGAGGATCGGGGCACTCGTGGTGTGGTGTCCGACTGTGATCGATGTATTAATCCAAGAGGTATATCCACGGGAGAGTGTAGATGAGAAGAGGGGACTTCGTCCGAAGTGCCGTGAGGGGTCTGTGCGGTGTGGGAGAGAGGCAGGGGGATCGCTGTGGTGTCGGCAATGGGCAGCGGACAATGGACGGGGCTGTAACAGCCGCAGCTGTGTGTGTCTCAGCGAGCGGTAACTGTCAGATCTGCTGGGGACCATGTGCAGAAGCAGCTGGCAGATGCCGTAAGTCGAATCCAATGACGTGTTGGAGAGGGATCATTCAGACAGGAACCGGGTGTTGGATAGGGCTGTGGCAGCCGATCCTGCCCCTTCCGTCCAGCCTATGACTGAACTGGAAAGAATAAAACATACTGATAAGCGCATCTTTCTGTTATTCTCTTTCCTCATATAAGTACTACAGCACATCTGACTCCTTGTGCTGCTTCTCCCTAAACAGCTTGCATTTAAGGATATAACAGGATTTTTTTAACTCACTTTAAAATTATTTTCTTTGAGTTTGAGGGACACAAAATTCAGTGACATTTGAGTTATACTGCCATCTACAGGAGGTTTTGGACACTGGCAAACAAAAATGGTGTAATCCCTCCCACACCCAGCATGCCTCGGTTTTGTAACAGAGCAGTAAAGAGTGCCAGACCATAAACACAGAGAGAACTGTGTCCCTCAAAGAACTTCAAGGAAAAGAACTGACAGGGAGTACAAAAAAATCCTGCTTTCTTTTTCGATCATTGAGGGACACAGGATTTAGAGACATTTAGGATATCTAAAAGCAGTCCAGCTGCGGGGTGGGCAACACAGTGAACAAAATGCTAACAAACCCAACTATAAACAAATTAAGGACTGCCCGTAGCTCACAAAGCCACCTGAAGGGCCTTATGCCCAAAGTTGGCATCAGAAAAAGCCTGAATATCCACCTGGTAAAACCTAGAGAATGTGTGAACAGAAGACCAGGTGGCAGCCTTGCAAATCTGGAAAACAGTTGCCTGATGCGCACTCAAAGATCTAGTAGAGTGTGCTTTGATAGGAAAGGGTGGAACCCGATCTTCAAGACCAGAAGCTTGAATGATGATATGTCCACTGAGCAACAGGGGAATAAGAAGCTGGTTTGCCTTTACGGAGACCATCAGGGATGACAAAGAGGGCATATTGACAATAAGGCCCCGTTCACATATAGCGAATTGTCGCGCGATTTCCGCCGCGATATCGCGCATTTTAACAATTAACTGTTTGCATAATTGCTTCTGAGCACCTGCATGAAATTTTAACTCCAGGCATACTGCTAAATACATGAATTGCATATATGAAAGCTGTAAATATTCAAAAAACCAAGAAAGGGCGCAGAGAACACTGGCTAGTTAACAAAATCTCCTTCTTAGGTACCAGATAGGGGGATGAGATCACAGCTCCCTGGTTAAGGTGAGAGTCCGGAGTCTATAGGCCTTAGCGCCACCTTATCCTTGTGCAAGACCAAAAAGGGTTAAGCTCCCAGTTCAGACACACACCTTGTAGAGGTGATGGCAAAACGGAAAACAACCTTGTGAGTGAGAGTGGAAGGAGGAATATCCCCGTTAGGTTATAAGGACAGTTTCTGAATTGCTGAGAGAACCAAATTCAAATCTCACAGGAGGTACAGGTGGATGCACAGGGGAAGCCATATGAGAAAAAGTCTATACAAATGTCTCAATCAAAGAATGTGTGGAAACAGTCCTTGGAAGGTTGCTAGCAGAGATCTGACCTTTAATAGTATGTTGGTGCAACTCTGATCCAGGCCTGACTGTCAAGTGGTCAGGATTAAAAAAAAGTGAAGTATGCATTACATGTGTGCTGGTTGATCTGGAAGAGCATGCACCAGGAGTCTGATTAGGCTGGAATACCACATCTGCCTGGGATAGTCTGAAACTACAATCCTCAGAATGCACTCCATCTCAATCCTGCAGCAGATAAGGAAGTATTTCTATTTGTCCCTCTAGTCAGGGCTGGAGTAACGGAGAGGGGAGGGGGGAATCCCTGCAGGGAGCAGTGACTGACAGAAGATCGTGAAATGAGAGATCAGCGGTATGTGATTGCCCAATTCTCGATCAGCAGTACGTGATTGCCCAATTCTCCATCAGCGGTACGTGATTGCCCAATTCTCCATCAATAGAGCCAACGTGTGACATCTGCAGTTTCAGACATTGGCTATAAGTAAGGGGATGAGTGTATTACACTATATTTCACTATAGAGAACCTATCATTCTCCCTTAATCCCGCAACCAGCATATTATTGTACAGAATGACATCACAATTGGGCAGACATCAGACATGATATGTTTTTTTTTGTTGGAATCCTTTTATACATGTGTGCAAATACTTGTTATTAATAGAGTTTTATCACAGCAAAAATTATTAATTATGAATAGATTTTGGTCCTTGGCAGTTCAGCTTTAGGTTTAAAATAAAACAAGACTATGAATGGGTATTCAGGTATCTACTCTGCTAGAGTATTTAAGATAGCTAATTAAAGTAGAACTGAAGCCAAAATGTTTTGTTTTGGATAGAGAAAGGGAGGGTTACAACCCCCTGTCAGCTTTTTTGCCACAATGGCCTTCAATTGCACTTTAACCTCCCTGGCGGTATGCCCGAGTCTGGCTCGGGGTTAATTTTCAGTACCAAGAGCGGTAACCACAAGCCAGACTCGGGAATGCACAGAAACGTGTCACTTACCTTGTCCCTGCGAGCCCGCGGTGCCCTCTGCTGTACGCGGCCATCTGGCAGGAAAGTTAGGAGGGACCCCCAGTTAAAATTTTTTTTATAAATAGTGCGTGAGGCTTCCACCAAAAGTAATTCCAGGCCCTTTAGGTCTGGTAGGACTTTTAAGGGGGATCCCCAACACCAAAAAATGGAAAGAAAAATTCCCAACCAGACCCTTGATCCGGGCATTGGCCTGGCAGGGCAGGAAAGGGGAGGGATGAGCGAGCACCCCCCCCCTCGCTGCACCATACCAGGCCACATGCCCCCTGGAAAGCACATTTAGTGAATGAGTAGGGGTACAAGTAACACTTATTCACAAGGGGGAGCAGCATCTGGGTGCCTCCTTTATGAAAGGGGGTACCCAGATGCAAATGAGCCCCCCTTCTCGCAGACCCCCAGAACCGCCGGGTCAGGGTTGTGGGGAAGTGGTCCTTGTCCCCATCAGCATGGGTACAAGGTGCTTTTCTAGGGGGGTTCCCCTGAAAAGCACCCTCCCAATGTCGAGGGCATGTGGTCTGGTATGGCGCAGACAGGGTATGGTTGGGGTCTTAAGGATTAAGGTCTGGTTGGGAGTTTCAGGGGGACCCTGCTTTTTTACACCCATATTTTGGGGTGGGGTTCTCCCTTAAAAGGGCCTGATATGACATTTGGGGGGAATCCCATGCATTTTTTTTTTTAACTCATGGGTCCCTCCTAACTTTCCTACCAGACCTAAAGGGTCTTGTATGGTTTGGGAGGGGGACTCCACGCATTTTTTTTATTCTGTTCACTACCTCTGAGGTAGCAAACAGAATAACCGAGCTGTGCCAAAGCAAGGTTGCAAGGAAACAGCAAATAGGTGTATTATCCACCAGCTTTCTAGTACTTCTATTATATGATGGCTATTTCGATTTAATTAATATTAGGCATTTATTTATAAAAGGAAGTACCTTTTTGTCATGATGATTCTCTTTTTCGTTATCCTCAGTTTCACGCTGCCAAACAGTTTTCTGGTCAAAATCAAATGGGCCTTTTCTTGTCTCATATGTCTGCTCACTTTGCTCCATGTTAAGTTCTTCATGAATCATGTAGTCTGGCACATTTCTCAGTGGTGCACTGTCATGACAAGATGCAATAAAAATAAAATTCCATTTATGTTTGTATTACATTTAATAAAAATATTCAAACAATTACAAACTGAATCTAATGTATATATACAATGATCAACCATAACATTATGACCACTTGGAGATGAAGTAAATAGCACATTGATTATCTTGTTACAATGGAGCCTGGAAGTGGATGGGCTATAGTAGGCAGTAAGTGAAGATTTTGTCCCTGAAGTTTTGTAGGAAGCAGAAAAAATGGGTAAGGATTTAAGTGACTTTGGTAAGGAACAAATTGTGATGGCTAAATAATTGGGTCAGAGCAAAACCAAAACGGCAGCTCTTAGCCCTCGTTCACACCTGAACGTTTTGTAGCGCGTTCTACGCTCGACGAACGCTCTACAAAACGCTCAAAAATATAAATCCCATTGCATTCAATGGTCTCGTTCCCACCTTGGCGTATTTCCGCCCGTCCCTAACGCGCTACAAAACGGCCCACGCCTGAAAAGGTACATGTACTACTTTGGGCCGTTTTGTTGCGCGTTTCCATTGGGATACAGCCAAGTAGCCTTCGGAAATGCGCGACTTTTTTACCGCGAACCGCGGTAAAAAAAACGTGCGACAGACGTGCATATGCAATACGCCTAGGTGTGAACGAGACCTTATGGGATTCTTCCCAGTCTGCAGTGGTCAGGACCTACCAAAAGTGGTCCAAAGGAAGGAAAATTGGTGAACCTGCAACAGGGTCATGGGTGGCCAAGGTTCACTGATGCAGGTGGAGAGCGAAGGCAGGCCCGTGTAGTCTAATCCAATAGAAGAGCTACTGTAGCTCAAATTGCTAGAAAAGTTAATGCAGGTTCTGATAGAAAGGTGTCTGACCACACACAAAGATCCTAGGCCTAGGCTGTACACAGGACCTCAGCTTCTCTCCAAATTTGGATTAAGACCTTCTCCTTCCTGACACTAACTCTTTGTTATTTAACAGTAAACTTTAAGAGCCTCTAATACTCACTAAGGTCTGCCATTTGATAGCTTATGACCAAAGGTGGAGCTTAGTGCCTAATTTCCCTCGAGACTCTACTTGAAAGCTTGCTGTAAGATGGCTTTACAGTTAGAGCCTTTGGAGAAAATGTTGCCCATGGGCAGTACCACACTTCCACTGTAGAGGACAACAGCAACATCTGACATATACTGCAGATGATGGCTCAGGACACCCACTGATCTGATGTCGAGTGAAGTCCTATGTTGCCGCATTCAAGCAGAACATCCAAATAATGGTGTTTTTATGCTGTCTTTTGTGCACCAAGGAATGCCAATATTTTGACCAGCTTGCTAAGCAGCAAAATGTGGCAAGCAAAAAGCAGATAATTTTTTTTTACGGTTGAGGCAAAAAGAACACAGTATATACAGTTATTTATAATTGGATACCTGTTTTGGAACAGCAGCATGTGAAATCATGTACATGTGCAGGCGGTGGCTACAGCAGGCATATCTGCGCATGTGCACTGCAACACCCCAGCACAGAGGGAACTATGGCTTTTTTACTTTTACTGTTTGCTTTTAAAGCAGTCACCATTAATTATATCAGTATGTCTTGTTCATATAGGAGATATGCATGTAAAAATCCCTTAAATGGTCAGATAAGACCCCAGAAATTGAGGGGGGGGGAAAAAAAAAAAAATCACACTTTTTTTTAGGCATGCTATTGATTAGCCGATGTATGTTTGGACACTGGTGCATACACTCTGTAGTAATCCACAATTTTTTGGGGAAAAATCTATGTATGTGGGCACAGAGTAAACTTCACAAGGTTACAATTTGGATGTCTATGCATGTTTGATGCACCACCATAGACATCTTTAATAAACCAAGGAAATCCTTCTTCCACTAGACACCTAAGTGGAACTAAGAGGGCTCTTCTCCATTCTCCCTAATGTAAGGGGCCACTTCACAGAACACCAATGTAAAAGGGTACTTTTTAACTGACTATCATAGTAAGCAGGCATATGTCCACTGGCCACCAAAGTGGGCAAACATTGGAATGCTCAATGCCTACATGAGAGTAGGAACACTGCTCCGAATTCAGGAGCTGTGCATCAGAATTGTCATACCATCACAGGGAGCTGTATCAGGTAGACCTCACCAACGTAAAGTCTCCACCAAGGCTCAAACAAGAATGCTGCGAACTGGTATCATCATCAAAAATAGAATTCTCTTTTCTCCTTTACTATAGACCTCTCTTTTCTACTTTATCTTTTACACTCTTGTTTATTACAGATGTAAAACATCCTGCCTAGATTCAAAAGGAATTCAAATACAGCACAATATCTACTGTGGATTTACCCTTCTTTTTTCTGCCACTAGGCACAGAAAGGATGGAAATGTATAATGAAACCCAGAGATTTATCTTAACAGACCCATGTCGAATGTTCTCAGATAATACTATTAAACCTGGAGGACTCTTAAGGTTTGGTATTATAAATCTTTGCTCTAAAATTTCAATACGTATATAGTTAGGCAAGAGAACTTACGCAGCTTGTTCAGGTGGGGGAGATGAATTCTCATCGGTGTACCAATCAGGTGGTGCATAGGATACTGGTAGAGTCTTCTTTGGTGCAGATGTTGTATGCTTTAACAAGTCTTAAAGATGTAGAAAATATTTTTTATTAAGTAGCATAAAAAAACTATTTACAAATTTTTTATAATACGGTCTAAATACATATCAGATTCTGAATTTAAAGTGACACTAAACTCAGGATTTAAATCCTAAAAATGAATTCAAGTACCTTAAAGGAGAACTATGACATGAGTGATTTCCACTCACCTCATAGTTCTAAGCCGACCTGTGACAATGAGACTGTCACAGGTCGGCTCAGTAGATCGGGAGGTGAGGGAACACATACCAGGTTCGCTCACCTCTCGATCCTGTCACGGCTCTCTGCCGTGGCAGGGGGAGGGGCTGGATTCCCCTCTCCCGGCTCCGATCTGCCAGCGCTGACTGGCGGAACGGACGGGGGAGGGGGCGGGTACAGCTGGCTCTGCCTCTAGATAGGCAGAGCCAGCTGTCACTCACGCAGCTGGGCGGATCCCGTCATCTAAGTCGGAAAACGCTCCAGGTGCGGCGTCTCATTATACCGCGAGCTGTAGCTCGCGGTATACTGAGCTTAGGGTAACGGGAGGACGCTAGTTGGTGTCCTCCCGTTACCCCAAGGAGAACTATGGGGAAAAACACTGACCCCATAGTTCTCCTTTAACTATTAACAAAAATTTAGCTTATTTGTGCATCACTCAGCTGTAGATCCTCATATCATCTCTGAATTCATGCCAATACTGTTATTTATTCTGGAGAGTAGCTACTTTTGTTCCCCATGGTCCCTATGTGTGTTGTAAAGTAGCCACTGCTCCAAGTTCGCTCCCGGTTAGTTTACTAATTTGTATTGAAATTATAGTCCATCAGTGGAGCGAGCTTGGAGTGGTGGCTACTTTACAGCACAAACAGGGACCATGGGGAACAAAAGTAGTCACCCTCCAGAAGGAAGGACAGTAAGCTACATTTTTGTTAATAGTTAAGGTACTTGAATGCATTTTTAAGATTTAATTTCTGAGTTTAGTGTCACTTTCAATTCAGAATCTGATATGTATTTATTAAATGCATTCCAATATTTCAAAAAAGTCTTACTTGTCACTTTAACAATTAATAGGTAAAAGCTGGCAATAGCATATTAATAACCTCAAATTATGTTACCATCCATTGCACAGTCTTGCATCATCATATTAGTAGGTTTATTTCACAATTGGCAATCAACTCCCAAATCTCCCGATTAAAGCGGATTTCCAGAAAAGTAGAATTCGTTACCTAGTCAAGACCCCCACCTTGTTGTAACACAAAGCAACCCTCCTTCCACAGATCCTGGTTTTTCTTAGGACAAATGTTTCCAGTTACAGGGTTCAAATGCTCTACTACCAGCTGAATAAATTCGATACATTCACATAACATATGTGAACAAATATAGTTTTACAGCTAGTCTTCTGTCGTTCAAGCATTTTAAACAACAGAAGGATCTGGTTCCCACTCATCAACCTCATCTATCAAAAAGCTGCAAAAGGTGTAATAAACAGTGTAATATCGACTCCTCTGTATACAGCATGGACTTGCAAAAGATCCTTTTCTATCGTACACACAATTCATAAATGCACTGTCACTATTATCGGATATCTTACAAGCATTTTCTTACTCGCAACAGAAAACAAGGGCTTTCCCACTGCATGGCTAACATTCTAACTTTGATATTCTGACTCCTATGGTTATTTATGTGATAGTAATTAATTTGCTTTGCTCATGTTCATAACATTACTGTAAAAGTCCAAATTTCATTTTTACCTGCTTGACCTCCTTGCTTGGATAGTTTGACGTATGCAGAGTCTGTATCCTTGATCCATGTTTTGCGGCCTGCACTCATTAAATCATCATGAGGTTCTGCAAGGTCACTCAAACCGGGTATTTGGGAAGTGGGAGGAAGTACAACTTCACCTTTCTTCTCATTGTGTTTTAAAGGTACCTGGTAATACCAATCTGTGAACATGAATAATGTGATATGTTAATCTAAGTTTACATATAAGCAATATTTTGGCACACAAATGTTTTTAAATGCAATTTTTATTTAAATCACAGGATCACTTTGATAGGTAAGCCTAACAATGGCATCACCTTGGCCTCAGCATCATCAAGCGTAATATAATAGTGTACCATAGTGGCTGCGTAAAATAATAGTTTTAGTTAGTTATCCACTGTAAAACAGGATTTAATGTATTTCCCAGTACTGCCAACCTAGGGGCTCAAGTACACAGGCACTGCTTCAAATCATACTACACTTCCCTATAGATGTCAATGCAAAAACAATTCAGCAATTTAGAAGCAGCTTTAACCAACTTGCAAAAACTCCTTGAGCAATGCAAAAAAATTAAAGCAAATTAAAGCACATCAATGCAGTTCAGAAAGAGCCTTTAGTCCTTCATACCAAAAAGATGTTTATTCCAAACAAAAGATCCCCAAGAGGCCAAAAACATAATGATTATGTGCCCCTCCAATAGTGCCCTATTTATGTTGGCTAAAGTGGCACTGATGGAAGACTACAGATGCCCTGCAATAATATCTTTGCACTTTGAAACTGCAGTATGACAGGAGGGACACAGTGAAGGTTACAGGATTAGCCAGGTGAGCAAGCTGTAGAGGAGGTCTTTTATAGCATCAAACCATTTTGTAAATCCTGATCTGGTGCAATGTAGAGAGCCAACCCTTCAAAAAACAGTTTCTCTTTTTGGATAACACCTACCACAAGCACCAACAGCATAATACCTGATCTAAGCTATCTTAAATTACCCGCTCTTCCTTTCTATTTCAAATAAAAACTTTTCATTTGATGCCACTATCTATCTACTGCATCTTCACACTCCCATACTCCGCCTATAACTTTGGGATTAACTTCCACCCCCTGCACATGAGTTGGCCATCCACCCACAATGATGTTTGCCATTACATTCAGCAGGTGCCCGGAAGGTTGGCTATCCTTCCTTACTGCATGTAAAGCCAAAAAATCCCACTGCTCCCTCTCCCTTCACCCAATATGGCTACCCTTCCCCATCTAATGGATCCAGCCTCACCAACGTGAAGCTCATATTAGCTTTAGGAGAAAATCAGTGCATGCAGACAAGTAAAAACACTGTTTACTAAATCCTGGCTTCAATGCAACTGAATAAAAGCAACATTTTCCACAAGCCATTAGTAGCCCTGTGATTTTAGAATCACTTTAATTGTTTATGGAAATTCCAGTTTTACAATTGTTGCACTTTGTTTAGATTAGGTTTCATCTTGTCTTGGGTGCCCACATGTGTCAAGTGTTTGACAGCTGGCCTTGGTAACTGTCACTTCTGTGGCCTACCCTAAAGTAAAGTCTCTCCTGACCCTCTCCGACTCCACTCTGTTATTTCAGCTTCTCAGCAATGTGAGTGAACAGTGGGCATGAAAGCTAGGGTAGAGAAGAACTCTGCAGCTATAGAATGACAGGGTTCCCTGCCTTGTGGAGCGGCCCCAGTGTGATCAGGTGGAATCAATTAAGGAGGAAGGCTTGCTGTGATTCATTTGCGCTGGGAAGATTTTTGAGAACTCTGCAGCTATGACAAGAGGGAGGTAGCGGAGAGGAGCAAGATGAATTATCTCTGCCATGCAACCTGGGTATTCCACCTCCCATTCAGTGACAGCAGCACTAACAGGGTTAATTTAGACTCTTCCTTTCCTGCAACCTCTGTGCAATCTATGTACAATATTCCTCCATGTGCAGCTGTCACTGAACAGGAGGTAGGGGTTAGACACTTCATTCTCTTTCCCTCCACTCAGTTCTGTGCAGTCTGTGTACATTGCTGTGCTGTGCAGTCCTGCAACTCTACCTTCCATTCAGTAAAAGCATGACACAGAAAACATCACATGAAACAGTACACAGAGTTGGGGGAAGGCAAACCTGGACATACAGAAGCTCTTTCACTACCATAGCCTCAATTTAAGTGGAGGGACAAAGTGTGACTTGATAAGCAAAGAGAATGGTGCAATGCACTTTTTCCCTGCATTGAGTTATGTATTTTGTTTTGTGTTACTTAACTGTAGGTCTGAGTATTCCAGGGAAGACCAGGGAGTTTTCTGCTCTCCTGTCTCCTCCTACAGCTCCAAAAGCCTGTGGGTCCCTCCTCTCAGCTCCTGAGGCTGCAGTTTTTTTTTTCAATCTATGTGACAACATGACAGGGGCTAAGAAGGTAGAACAGGAGTCCACAGCCTAAGGCATGTGTGCAATGATGAGTCTAAGCCAATTTCAGTGTCACCCAATTTAAAAATGGTGGCTTTTGCATTAATCTCTGCATTCGGATTCCTACATATGTGCGAACAGGTTTTTTTTAAAACCTAAGGACATAGTAAGGCCCCATTCACACTGTGCGATTCGCAAATTGCGCGTTTGTCGCGCGATATCGTGCAAATGCTTGCATTGAGCAAGCTTGAATCGCGGCTAGATCCGCTCCAAAAAGGGTCCTGCTGTAGCGACACACGACCCGCGACAGCAGGACCCTTTGCCCCATTGAGAAGCATTGGAGAGTGATATCGCGCGGTAAATTGCGGCGATATCGCGGGAATTACCGCGCGATAAATCGGTCAATGTAAATGGGGCCTTAAGTTCATCCCCAAACCAATTTACCACAGATAATCCAGGAGGTGTGTGCAGCTGAAATTAACATCCTACAGGCCAGATATAGCACAATTAACCCCTTCGTGACTGACTACGTACAGTGTACGTCGCCAGCATCGGGGCTGTTTAAACAGACTCCCGGTGACTTTTGCCGCCGGGACTCTGTTTAAACATGTAGAGCCGACTGTCGGCTTTACAACAGAAGCGATGCTGGCGACTTACCTGTCGCCAGATCGCTTCTGCGTCCCGAAGAAGGGGCCGTCCCGCCGGACACCCACGCCGTGCTTCCCGGGCTCCGTTGCCCCTCCTACGGGCCCGGGAAGGAGTTGCGCTAATATTGCGCAACATAAAAATTTGCAACTACCACCATTTTATTCTATAGGGTCTTGGCATTCAGAAAATATATAATGTTGGGGGGTTTTAAGTAATTTTCAGGCCTAAAATATGGAATATAACATGGGTACAAAAAATGAAAAAAAGGCCTCAGTCATGAAGGGGTTAAGCTGCAAAAGACAAACTGTAAATCCTGTTCATGTGCATGTGCTGGACCAATATTTCTAAGTGGAAATTTGTTTCTAATGGTTATACAGCACAGTGTTTTCCTTCAAGGAAGCAGAACGATACTAAGAATGACCAGCTGACTGGAGAATCTAGTCTCTATCTAGTCTCTAGTGGATTTCATTGGGATTTTATTAACAATCATTACTTCAGCCCTGGATAAGGGAAGGCCTTTTCCACCAAAACGCATTGGATATATGTGATGCCCTTAACCAATGCTCTTAACAAAGATTTCAAAAAGACTTTTTGAAAAGTGATAGAATCATTTGTACTTCGTAATTATCTATACACATCCATCAGCTTACTGTTCAGCACATCGTAACAGTATATATGAACATGTTTTCTAAGTGCATCCGTTAATATAACAATAACTAATGAGTTAATGTTGCCATTAATAGTACAACTATTAGTGCAAAAATAAAAATTAACAATATGGATATGTCACGCTATTGGCCCACCAGTTGTAAACTGATATTTATTGTGGAAAAGTTTGCCAACCCGTGAGGTAGAATATCTATGTCAGGAACAAGCTGAAGGGGAAAAAACACTAGAAAATGGTTTAAAGGGGGTTAGGGACGTCTGGTATTAAAGTGACACTAAACTCAGGACTTAAATCTTAGAAATGCATTCAAGTACCTTAACTATTAACAAAAATGTAGCTTATTTGTGTATCACTTGTTTGTAGATCCTCAAATCATCTCTGAATCTGTGCTGACACTGTCCTTCCTTTTGGAGGGTGGCTACTTTTGTTCCCCATGGTCCCTGTGTGTGTTGTAAAGTAGCCACAGCTCCAAGCTCACTCCTGTGATGGACTATAAATTCAATACAAATTAGCAAACTAAGCACGAGATTGTAGTCCATCACGGGAGTGAGCTTGGTGCGGTGGCTACTTTACAACACACACAGGGACCATGAGGAACTAAAGTAACCACCCTCCAGAAGGAAGGACAATGTCAGCACCAATTCAGAGACAATTTGAGGATCTACAGCTGAGTGATACACAAATACGCTACATTTTTGTTACCGCTTGGGGTACTTGAATGCATTATTAAGATTTAACTCCTGAGTTTAGTGTCACTATAATAAACAGCTGTTGCCTGAAATGAGCATTACTGCAAAATACAGTTACCCTTTAGGGCCACTAAATTAAATAAGGCCAAAATAATACTTGAATACAAAAAACAAAAAAGGACAGAAGGGCGCCGATTATTTTTTATTTTAAAAGACACAAAGATCAAATTGCAATGGTACTCACAATGGAGGGTCATAAAACAGCTTGTGTGGATGTTTTGGAAGAAACAGCAGTTGAGACTGCAATCTGCCTGTGTGCCACTGTGGTGTGGCGGCGTTGACGCGTTTCCGGGGTCAAGCCCCCTTCCTCAGAACGTCTGTTTTATGACCCTCCATTGTGAGTACCATTGCAATTTTATCTTTGTGTCTTTTAAAATAAAAAATAATCTGCACTAGGTTGGGCGCCCTTCTGTCCTTTTTTGTATTCCAGTTTTACAGTTTCTCCCGTCTGAAGTGGGGCAGCACCCCTAGTTGTTTTTACTTAATCATCAGGATCCGAGCACAGCGCTTTAACTTTACTATATTTGCAAAATAATACTTGGCTTACCCTGTAAAGTTAAACAATCTCAGTTAAGGGTAAATTTTTGCTTTTAATTGTGCAGGGAGTTTGACGCAAACAAGTAGCATTTGATACATCTCTCTTATACTGAAATCCGCCAGAAAAATAACTGTTTGTCATTTGGATCCTTTAACATTTAAATGTATTTACTTAATA